AAAAGTTACGACCTTTGAAAGTTTTCCGAAAAAATCATAAGGGGGGTACCTTCCTACTAAAATGATGAAATTTCAATTTTTTTTTTTTCGAGATTTTGTGTCCTACTGGTCCCTCTTGATACCCTGAACTCCATACAGAAAATTATTCTCAGATTTGAAGCCGAAATCTATGAAAAAAGGCACTCAGAAAAATAGAAAAATTGATAAATTACCCCAAATTGCTTAACACGATTTTATCTCAGGAACTATAAGTGCAAATGAGCTGAAATTTTCAGGGATTGTAGTCCTTCGAAAGGGATGAAATTCAGTGAAAGATTGAGCTTCCTATCTGTAATAGAAAAAAAGTTACGACCTTGAAAGTTTTCCGAAAAAATCATAAGGGGGGTACCTTCCTACTAAAATGATGAAATTTCAATTTTTTTTTTTTCGAGATTTTGTGTCCTACTGGTCCCTCTTGATACCCTGAACTCCATACAGAAAATTATTCTCAGATTTGAAGCCGAAATCTATGAAAAAAGGCACTCAGAAAAATAGAAAAATTGATAAATTACCCCAAATTGCTTAACACGATTTTATCTCAGGAACTATAAGTGCAAATGAGCTGAAATTTTCAGGGATTGTAGTCCTTCGAAAGGGATGAAATTCAGTGAAAGATTGAGCTTCCTATCTGTAATAGAAAAAAAGTTACGACCTTTGAAAGTTTTCCGAAAAAATCATAAGGGGGTACCTTCCTCTCTTGATACCCTGAACTCCATACAGAAAATTATTCTCAGATTTGAAGCCGAAATCTATGAAAAAAAGCACTCAGAAAAATAGAAAAATTGATAAATTACCCCAATTGCTTAACACGATTTTATCTCAGGAACTATAAGTGCAAATGAGCTGAAATTTTCAGGGATTGTAGTCCTTCGAAAGGGATGAAATTCAGTGAAAGATTGAGCTTCCTATCTATAATAGAAAAATAGTTACGACCTTTGAAAGTTTTCCGAAAAAATCATAAGGGGGGTACCTTCCTACTAAAATGATGAAATTTCAATTTTTTTTTTTTCGAGATTTTGTGTCCTACTGGTCCCTCTTGATACCCTGAACTCCATACAGAAAATTATTCTCAGATTTGAAGCCGAAATCTATGAAAAAAGGCACTCAGAAAAATAGAAAAATTGATAAATTACCCCAAATTGCTTAACACGATTTTATCTCAGGAACTATAAGTGCAAATGAGCTGAAATTTTCAGGGATTGTAGTCCTTCGAAAGGGATGAAATTCAGTGAAAGATTGAGCTTCCTATCTATAATAGAAAAAAAGTTACGACCTTTGAAAGTTTTCCGAAAAAATCATAAGGGGGGTACCTTCCTACTAAAATGATGAAATTTCAATTTTTTTTTTGTCAAGATTTTGTATCCTACGGGTCCCTCGTGACACCCTGAACTCCATACAGAAAATTATTCTCAGATTTGATGCCGAAATCTATGAAAAAAGGCACTCAGAAAAATAGAAAAATTGATAAATTACCCCAAATTGCTTAACACGATTTTATCTCAGGAACTATAAGTGCAAATGAGCTGAAATTTTCAGGGATTGTAGTCCTTCGAAAGGGATGAAATTCAGTGAAAGATTGAGCTTCCTATCTATAATAGAAAAAAAGTTACGACCTTTGAAAGTTTTCCGAAAAAATCATAAGGGGGGTACCTTCCTACTAAAATGATGAAATTTCAATTTTTTTTTTGTCAAGATTTTGTATCCTACTGGTCCCTCGTGACACCCTGAACTCCATACAGAAAATTATTCTCAGATTTGATGCCGAAATCTATGAAAAAAGGCACTCAGAAAAATAGAAAAATTGATAAATTACCCCAAATTGCTTAACACGATTTTATCTCAGGAACTATAAGTGCAAATGAGCTGAAATTTTCAGGGATTGTAGTCCTTCGAAAGGGATGAAATTCAGTGAAAGATTGAGCTTCCTATCTATAATAGAAAAAAAGTTACGACCTTTGAAAGTTTTCCGAAAAAATCATAAGGGGGGTACCTTCCTACTAAAATGATGAAATTTCAATTTTTTTTTTGTCAAGATTTTGTATCCTACTGGTCCCTCGTGACACCCTGAACTCCATACAGAAAATTATTCTCAGATTTGATGCCGAAATCTATGAAAAAAGGCACTCAGAAAAATAGAAAAATTGATAAATTACCCCAAATTGCTTAACACGATTTTATCTCAGGAACTATAAGTGCAAATGAGCTGAAATTTTCAGGGATTGTAGTCCTTCGAAAGGGATGAAATTCAGTGAAAGATTGAGCTTCCTATCTATAATAGAAAAATAGTTACGACCTTTGAAAGTTTTCCGAAAAAATCATAAGGGGGGTACCTTCCTACTAAAATGATGAAATTTCAATTTTTTTTTTGTCAAGATTTTGTATCCTACGGGTCCCTCGTGACACCCTGAACTCCATACAGAAAATTATTCTCAGATTTGATGCCGAAATCTATGAAAAAAGGCACTCAGAAAAATTGAAAAATTGATAAATTACCCCAAATTGCTTAACACGATTTTATCTCAGGAACTATAAGTGCAAATGAGCTGAAATTTTCAGGGATTGTAGTCCTTCGAAAGGGATGAAATTCAGTGAAAGATTGAGCTTCCTATCTATAATAGAAAAAAAGTTACGACCTTTGAAAGTTTTCCGAAAAAATCATAAGGGGGTACCTTCCTACTAAAATGATGAACTTTCAATTTTTTTTTTTTCGAGATTTTGTGTCCTACTGGTCCCTCTTGATACCCTGAACTCCATACAGAAAATTATTCTCAGATTTGAAGCCGAAATCTATGAAAAAAGGCACTCAGAAAAATAGAAAAATTGATAAATTACCCCAAATTGCTTAACACGATTTTATCTCAGGAACTATAAGTGCAAATGAGCTGAAATTTTCAGGGATTGTAGTCCTTCGAAAGGGATGAAATTCAGTGAAAGATTGAGCTTCCTATCTGTAATAGAAAAAAAGTTACGACCTTTGAAAGTTTTCCGAAAAAATCATAAGGGGGGTACCTTCCTACTAAAATGATGAAATTTCAATTTTTTTTTTTTCGAGATTTTGTGTCCTACTGGTCCCTCTTGATACCCTGAACTCCATACAGAAAATTATTCTCAGATTTGAAGCCGAAATCTATGAAAAAAGGCACTCAGAAAAATAGAAAAATTGATAAATTACCCCAAATTGCTTAACACGATTTTATCTCAGGAACTATAAGTGCAAATGAGCTGAAATTTTCAGGGATTGTAGTCCTTCGAAAGGGATGAAATTCAGTGAAAGATTGAGCTTCCTATCTATAATAGAAAAAAAGTTACGACCTTTGAAAGTTTTCCGAAAAAATCATAAGGGGGGTACCTTCCTACTAAAATGATGAAATTTCAATTTTTTTTTTTTCGAGATTTTGTGTCCTACTGGTCCCTCTTGATACCCTGAACTCCATACAGAAAATTATTCTCAGATTTGAAGCCGAAATCTATGAAAAAAGGCACTCAGAAAAATAGAAAAATTGATAAATTACCCCAAATTGCTTAACACGATTTTATCTCAGGAACTATAAGTGCAAATGAGCTGAAATTTTCAGGGATTGTAGTCCTTCGAAAGGGATGAAATTCAGTGAAAGATTGAGCTTCCTATCTGTAATAGAAAAAAAGTTACGACCTTTGAAAGTTTTCCGAAAAAATCATAAGGGGGGTACCTTCCTACTAAAATGATGAAATTTCAATTTTTTTTTTTTCGAGATTTTGTGTCCTACTGGTCCCTCTTGATACCCTGAACTCCATACAGAAAATTATTCTCAGATTTGAAGCCGAAATCTATGAAAAAAGGCACTCAGAAAAATAGAAAAATTGATAAATTACCCCAAATTGCTTAACACGATTTTATCTCAGGAACCATAAGTGCAAATGAGCTGAAATTTTCAGGGATTGTAGTCCTTCGAAAGGGATGAAATTCAGTGAAAGATTGAGCTTCCTATCTATAATAGAAAAAAAGTTACGACCTTTGAAAGTTTTCCGAAAAAATCATAAGGGGGGTACCTTCCTACTAAAATGATGAAATTTCAATTTTTTTTTTTTCGAGATTTTGTGTCCTACTGGTCCCTCTTGATACCCTGAACTCCATACAGAAAATTATTCTCAGATTTGAAGCCGAAATCTATGAAAAAAGGCACTCAGAAAAATAGAAAAATTGATAAATTACCCCAAATTGCTTAACACGATTTTATCTCAGGAACTATAAGTGCAAATGAGCTGAAATTTTCAGGGATTGTAGTCCTTCGAAAGGGATGAAATTCAGTGAAAGATTGAGCTTCCTATCTGTAATAGAAAAAAAGTTACGACCTTTGAAAGTTTTCCGAAAAAATCATAAGGGGGGTACCTTCCTACTAAAATGATGAAATTTCAATTTTTTTTTTTCGAGATTTTGTGTCCTACTGGTCCCTCTTGATACCCTGAACTCCATACAGAAAATTATTCTCAGATTTGAAGCCGAAATCTATGAAAAAAAGCACTCAGAAAAATAGAAAAATTGATAAATTACCCCAAATTGCTTAACACGATTTTATCTCAGGAACTATAAGTGCAAATGAGCTGAAATTTTCAGGGATTGTAGTCCTTCGAAAGGGATGAAATTCAGTGAAAGATTGAGCTTCCTATCTGTAATAGAAAAAAAGTTACGACCTTTGAAAGTTTTCCGAAAAAATCATAAGGGGGGTACCTTCCTACTAAAATGATGAAATTTCAATTTTTTTTTTTTCGAGATTTTGTGTCCTACTGGTCCCTCTTGATACCCTGAACTCCATACAGAAAATTATTCTCAGATTTGAAGCCGAAATCTATGAAAAAAGGCACTCAGAAAAATAGAAAAATTGATAAATTACCCCAAATTGCTTAATACGATTTTATCTCAGGAACTATAAGTGCAAATGAGCTGAAATTTTCAGGGATTGTAGTCCTTCGAAAGGGATGAAATTCAGTGAAAGATTGAGCTTCCTATCTGTAATAGAAAAAAAGTTACGACCTTTGAAAGTTTTCCGAAAAAATCATAAGGGGGGTACCTTCCTACTAAAATGATGAAATTTCAATTTTTTTTTTTTCGAGATTTTGTGTCCTACTGGTCCCTCTTGATACCCTGAACTCCATACAGAAAATTATTCTCAGATTTGAAGCCGAAATCTATGAAAAAAGGCACTCAGAAAAATAGAAAAATTGATAAATTACCCCAAATTGCTTAATACGATTTTATCTCAGGAACTATAAGTGCAAATGAGCTGAAATTTTCAGGGATTGTAGTCCTTCGAAAGGGATGAAATTCAGTGAAAGATTGAGCTTCCTATCTATAATAGAAAAAAAGTTACGACCTTTGAAAGTTTTCCGAAAAAATCATAAGGGGGGTACCTTCCTACTAAAATGATGAAATTTCAATTTTTTTTTTGTCAAGATTTTGTATCCTACTGGTCCCTCGTGACACCCTGAACTCCATACAGAAAATTATTCTCAGATTTGATGCCGAAATCTATGAAAAAAGGCACTCAGAAAAATTGAAAAATTGATAAATTACCCCAAATTGCTTAACACGATTTTATCTCAGGAACTATAAGTGCAAATGAGCTGAAATCTTCAGTTATTTGATTTGTACGATTTTAACAAGAACCCAAGCCAAAGACACTTCAGTATTACACCACAACAACAAAAATAAGCAAGTCTAATTCTTGCGTCACCAATCTATTCATAAATCAATTAAAATATAATTGAAAAAAACCGAATCGAAAAGGCAAACTACATTCTATTACCAAATCAATTTCCAGCAGCCATGTCCGAGCAACAGCCAGTCACCTGTTTGCCGCCGCCGTTGCCGCCAAAGACCAAACCGAGAAGAGCGGCGATAGACGAGGACAGACGCTACGCGGACAACCAAGACGGCATTATAATCAGTGCATCGTATTCTTCGCCTTCTTCGCGATCTTCCGCTATCACAACGGTAAACCTCAACACCGTTGACTTGAACATTCCCGATGGCTTTCAAGAATTGACTTACTCGTGTAAAAACAGTGGAAAAAGTCACGTCGTTAAAATTTTAATTAATCCAGAAGAATACCCCCTGGATCGTAATGATCCAGGGTGCAATAATAGTGATAGTGTTGTTAGTAGTGACGTAGTGCCTTCTGGAGAAACTTGCATTAGAATATCAGGTAGATACATCTTTGTTATAATATCAAAATGCGCTATACATAACAGCTATTTTTTTTTTATTAGTTAACAATAACCATAACACAATGGTAGATGCTGTGGGAAGTCCTCAGCACTATTACTTTAATCAATTCAACAATTTAATGTCCAGTGGCCAAATGAGCCCCAGCGATACTTTAGATTCTGGCACTTGTAGCGATTTGGATGGGACACCGCCGCCTTTGACTAAAAAGAAAAACGGCAGCGGAGTGTCTGTGACATTAATTGGTAAGACATTATGGTTTGCAGCTGAAGTTTTGCTGGACTGTTGTTTTTTTTAGGTTCTCATAAGAAAACAGCTAGTCTAAGTGACAGCGACGACAATGAAAGCAACATTAGTTGCGACTCGTTGAATTGTGGCAAAGTGTCACCGATAGCTGGAAAGCCTACCATTATAGGGGCCAGAAGTAAGAGCCTAATATTGCCCCAAAACTTACTAAAGGATATTAGGCAAAGAAAAGGTATTAACTAATATTAACATTGCTAAGTGTGGTGTCACACACACATAGTGTTTTCAACGTTGCAAGTAGAATTCATCCAGTCGAAATGCATCCTGTCTTGCCGCAGCGTCAAAAACGCAACCCTTTTTGCCGCAGCGTCAAAACTGCATAGTGTGACACCGCACTAATCATCAAATTATATTGCAGATATCGAATCATATTCACTAGTAGACGAAAAATCTTATGAGGATCGTCAAAACGAAACGACTACAATTGAAGAAGTAAACTCAGACATGTTTTTTGATTTCCACTTAAACGAAAACAATATCAAAGAGGAGGATTTGACGCCGGTGATGGTTAATGAAGACGAAACGTTTGCCGGCTACAAGGACTTTTTGGTTGCCGACAAACCGGCGACCATTAAAAGTGCCAAGGGCACGGTACGTGGTGTCAGGAATCGCGTCAGGGCAGGAATCGCCACCTTCTTGCAAATTAATTCTGCAGAAAAGGTAAGAATTTCAATTATGATCCGCATCTACGACTTTCAATTTCACCCACTATGTGCTGCGAATACAGAATAGAAATTAGAAATAGTTTCGCTTTTTTTTTTGCTGTTTCGAATTATTGGGTTTTGCTTGGAGAATTTCAATGCGTCTTGATACATATGGAAATTTGGTATTTTTTGTTTATTCGCGGCTCATGATTCGGATCAAGTGTCCGGAATAATCATTTGATTGACTTTATAATTTGATATAAGCAATTAATATACAAGAGGAATAGTAAGGGTCTCAAAGTGCTTCCCTGCAGAACACCATTATCATTTGAGAAGTCTGCATATATTTCTCCTTTAACTCTCGTTACCTGTTTTCTATTTTCCAGATTATACAACTCATTGTACATTATTTCCATATGACACGAGAGGCTTAACAAGTGATAAGCCTTTTGGAATTATCGCGCTTGGTGTATTTTAGTTATACAACTCACGTGTTAATAGGGGATAATTTTGTCAGGGGAAGATTTTTTTATATTTTTGAAAATAGCTTAACTAGCCAATAATATTTTTTTTTCTTTCAATTTTTTTTTTTTAAAATAAAAAAGTTATGGCCTGTAACACTGATTGTGGGACACCCTGTATACTTTGAATATTAAAAATATAACAATTTTTTGTGTTGTGTTTAATAATAAAAGGTACCACCAACAGAATTTTGTTGAATTAATTTAAAAAAAAAAAGAACCAAGTACGCAAATAGCTTGGATGTTATGACAAGAAAATTGCAGTATTTTCACTTGCTTTGAATATTTTCAATGTTCTTTCAGCCTATTTTTGTTCCTCTAACACTAGTTTTAACAAGTTCAGTACTCTCGACATTTCAAGGCAGGGATTTTGTAGTTTTTTGTTCTGTTACAGAGGTGCTCCGCTATTACATTGTGGTTCTTTATTTCAAAACAAATATAGGAGAAATAATATTTTCCGAAATACAAATTTCAGTTGATAGATGTAGGCTAGGTTTATCGTATCCTTGCAAAAATTAGTTAAAGTAATGTGTTTAACGTAGAATCTCATTTTTAACCATTTGACGGTTGGTTTCTTTTTCTATATCACCATCCACGCATTCTGCACTATTCCATACCTACTGCTTTAATTTATTTATCAGGATGCGCTATATTTGGTTCTATATTCTTGAAGAACACAATTTCTCAATTGTAAAACTATATATAAACTATGTCAAATGATAGTTTATAAAAATCTAAGATAGGAATGTAAAATCGGTTTTCCTCTAAAATTAACCGTTCAGGTTCTACAGCCTGTCAAAGTTGCAAAAAGTCAATTTTCAACTGTCAATATTTCCAAAACAGTTGAGCTTAGGTATAGGGTATATCACATGAAATCTGCTTAGAATTTTACGTAGAATCCAAATATGCAATTTAATACGGGGTGTTATATTTAAAATAGTGATGTTGCCACTAGTTTAGAGTAGAAGCGACAACATCGCATGGTCAAACATATTTTTAAAGTGTAGATCATGGTCGTTTATCCCGGTTGCCAAATTTTCAAAATGATCCGCTTTTTAGTTCTCCATAAACGTCTAATACGCTATCCACCGTGGGACACCCTGTATATAAAAAAACACCCTGTACAAATAAGTGGATTATTGCAGAACTGATGGGTGGACGCAGCCATCTACTCACCAATATACTGTTGAACTGTTTTTAAATAAGACACTTACCTGAAATGTGTAGTTTTTGAACTAATGAGAATAACGCACATTTGAGTGAATCAGTTTATTATCCTAATTATATAACATATTGATGAATAGATGGCTGCGGAACTCGCTGCGCTCGTCCCGCAGAGGTCCACTTATAAGTTCCGCAACAATTCACTCATTTGCACTTGAATAACTTGTTACATTATGTTACTAGTTTGGTAAAGTATCATTACGAGGTAATTCTTGTTGAAAGGTAAATTGACAAAAAGTAAATAATCATAATCTTATAAAGTTTTGACTTTATATAATAAGTTATTGTTCAAGTACAAATAAGTGGATTGTTGCGGAACTTATGGGTGAACCTCTGCGGGACGAGCGCAGCGAGTTCCGCAGCCATCTATTCATTAATATGCTGTTGAACTATTCAAATAACACCCACCTAAAACTTGTAGTTTTGAACTAATGAGAATAACTCGCATTTGAGTGAATCAGGTTAGTATCATAATTAAATAAAATATTGATATATAGATGGCTGCGGAACTCGCTGTGCTCGTCCCGCAGAGGTCCACCCATAAGTTCCGCAACAATTTACTCATATGTACTTGAATAACTTGTCACATTATGTGACTAGTTTGGTAAAGTAACATTACTAATTCTTGTTGAAAGGCAAATTGACAAAAAGTGGATATTCTTACAAATTCTGACTTTATATAATAAGTTATTGTTCAAGTATGTACCTGCACTATATAATGATCACTCATCATTGGCATCTCCAAAACCTCACTGTTAAAATGCTCTTTATGATTAGTTATCACCAAATCTATTAAACTTCCTTCAATATTCAAAGGATGCGTTGCTGTTTCAATAATTTGATATAGTCCTGCGTCACTAACAATTTTTTTTAGCTTATCGAATGTAATACCACAAGAGGTTTCAGGATTACCGGATAATACTTTTACCTGTCACGAAACGCGTTACGCAGCAACACCACGACTCCGAAGGAGGAGTGGTGTTGCTGGTAACGCGTTGAGTGTCAGGTAAAAGTATTAGGTAATCCTGAAAACTCGAGTGGTATTCAAAAGATTATACAACGAACTAAACTTTAATTCTTTATTAATTAATAATTTCATGAATCAAAAATTTAAATTTTTTTGTCAAAAAATGTCAAAACACCAGTTACCGTGCAAAAGGATTATCACTTATTAAGCCTCTCGTGTCATATGGGAAGGATTATCACTTATTAATCCTCTCGTGTCATATGGGAATAATGTACAGTGAGTTGTATAATCTGTATAAGTTGACTTACCCTGTCAACCAATTAATATTGAAATCCTCCATAATCAGTATCCATTATCCCTTCACACCATTGCTCAAAAAAACTCAAGAACTCTACGTCATTTGCACTGGGTGAATGATATAATACAGCCAGCAAGTAAGTCTTACCCCATATATTTAACTCAACTGCAAGAAACCAGTAATTTTTTTGCCTAAGCAATCTATTAAAATTCCTAATATTTGTACCGTTTCTTAAATATACAGCAACAGTGCCAGTGTGCCTGTTTTCACTATTCACTCTAATAACATCATATCCTACAATTCCCAACTTAAAAAATCATTAAAATCCTCAGTAATCTTAGTTACCGTTAAGCAGACTAAAAGGGGATTTGTATTTAACATAAAATTTTGAGTCTCATCCAATTTTGAAGGAGGATTAACTGCGAGTTAATTAATGTTATTTTGTTATTTCTAATACATGGCCTTTGCGTAAAAAACCGTTGTTACGATTATTAACAGATACCCTGATACAGTTGAAAACTATAATAAAATGACGCGTAATCCTACTAGTGGAATGTCGCTGGTGCATTCTTTAGTCCAAAAAACCTTAGTGTAAAATGTCCATTCTCAACATTAAAATGCTAGTAGATAGTCAAAGCGGGTTCTAGCATAAAAATCCGACCATAACCTCAATCTTTAATTTTTGACACGTGGTGGATGCGCTATACTTGATACGAAGGTGGATGCGCCGCCATGGCCCCATCTTCTCGATCCCAAACAGGCTCAGAATCCGAACCCACCATTCGATAGTATCGTCTATCTTTTTTATATGGATGATACTATCGAATCGTGAGTTTGGAATCCGGGCCCTGTTTTGACACTTGGCATAATTCACTCTTTCTCTGCCATTTTGAAATATTCTTCCCGTTAATTCCTTGACAATTATATATTTTCCCTATGTCTTTAAATTCAATGACCTACTGCACAGCATCCTGGATTAATCAATAATAGAATTAAAATGGATAAACTGTGCGAACTTACTTTCCAAACCTAACTCATTATATGCTAAAACTATTAAGAAATATGTTATTATTCCACTGTGTACTTTAGTACATTTGTATAATTTGCAACTTCCCTAATTTTTCCTATTGTTCCAACATTGACTCTACTGCCCTATAATTAGCCACTGAACCACCCATAACAATTACAAAGTCTTTATTAGTGAAACCCTTTGTATCAATCTAAATACTAGCAACAACCTCATCCAGTGGCACATTTGGTTTAATCTGTGATTTGACTATTTATCCAGAATGTCCCTAAAAGGACTATCTATACTATCTCCTAATACTGAAACAATATTTTTTTCTTTTGTATTGTTTTCCTCTAAACACCACCATTTCATTTTTCAACTCCCTCAGCTTCAGTTCATAATATTCCCTGAAAGCTTCCAGTGTCTCAATAGTAATTTACATATGTTCTCTCGTCTCCTTTAAATTTCTAAAATCTTCCTGCAGCTTAATGCTTCTCTGTTTTCCTTGATTTACCAATTCCTCCAGTTCCCTATTAATTTGAGAACTGCCAATAAAGATCGATCGATAACTGACCCAATACAAATTCCACAAGCAAAAATAAGTGTTCTTTTAGTCAGTTGTGTAGCACGATACTCGGATGTAGAAAGGTTCGAGCATGAAACGCAGTACCTTTCCCTACAAAAATCGCATATTATCTTAAATTTCACTCTTTCAGGTGTCAGTTTCTTCTAACATCTTGAGCAATCCATCCTCGTAGATTTATGAAAAGAAGAGGAAAAGATAAACCTTTCCAGGTTTTTTTTACACAGTCAACAAGTCAAAATTTGTTATGAATGTACGTGAAAATGACACCAGCGAAGGTTTTCTTTTACTTTTACTCACTACAACCACACGAACCCGATCTGGGTTAATCTAAATAGAAGCCAGTTGTATGTAATTATGTAGTTTTGTCGAAATTCGTGTTGTAATTACGCCTTACATTTGTATTTAAAAAAGACAAATTAACAAGCACATATAACGGTTTCATTTTTCTTTTCATATAAAAGGCTCAAGGCAAATCAAATTACAAAGAGTCATGCTAGGCTGATTGAGCTAAATTAGGGAAATTGACACCGATATGCTCAATAACTGTAATATTATTCTCGCAAAAATACCTGCCTACGTCATTATTATTGGGTTTATCGACTGATGCCCAAACCGGTCAATGCAGTTTAAGATGTTGTACCATCAACTTGTATTATTGTGTTGCTTAGTGGTTTTAATAAAATCGTGTAAATTTATTAAAAATATTAAAGTCACTATTAAAGATGTTAGTGGTTGTAGTTACAACAAAACAATCAATGAGTGTGCAGAAAGGACTATATTTGAACAAATTAAAGTAAAAGAGTTGTACTTTAAGCAACAAAACCTCAGTACTTTAGGTAAAGACTCTGTAAAAAATTTGATTCATTTAAAAACGCTGGTTTTTTGGGGCAATAGCATAGACAACATATTACCAGGGGCGTTTAGGAATTTACCAAACCTAAAAAACTTACAGCTGTCTCATGACAATCTCAAAGAAATCCCCAAAAATATTTTCAACAAATTGGCTTCATTAGAATCATTAAAACTCCACAATAACCAAATCAATATAATCGAAACTCAAGCATTTGCCAACCTAACATCATTAAAACGTTTAATTATAAACAACAATAACCTGGAATATTGGAACAAAGACTGGTTCACCAATACCTCAAGCCTGTTTGAAATGAATTTCCAAAATAACAAAATAAGAACAATACCGAAAAAGGCCTTTGCAAACCTACCAAACCTAAAAAAAATACTTTTGGATTTTAACGAAATCACCCTTATTCAAGCTGACGCCTTCAAGGGTCTCACCAATCTGGATTATTTAGGATTAAAACGCAATCGTTTAGTTGAAATAGACGACAACATATTTCCCAATAGCTTAAACATAAAATCCTTATCACTAGATGCTAATTATTTAAACTTTTTAACTGATAAACTATTGAAGAAGTTGTATGTGGAAGACATTAGTTTGGATAATAATCCTTGGAAATGCCCGTGCCTGGACAAAATTAAAAGCTGGATACGCTTGGGAAATGGAACTTTGAGCAGCTCAAAATCGTGCGCAAGCGGAAACGTGCCAGTTTGCGCCTTTGCTCAAACCTGCTCGGAGCAAGTAGACAATGGATTGACTGAAGCGTATCTCAGGGCTTTGAAAAAGCTTAAGTTGCCGAAATTTTGTGCACGTTTAAATTAGGTTCAATAAAAGAGTTGTTTTTGAATTTGTTGTGTTTTGTTTAGAAAAAACTGGTAATTGAGGCTCAATCTATAGAATCTCAAAATTTCATGGCTATGTCCATAATGTTTGGATAGGTTTTAGGTAAGGTTTAGGTTTCTTGTGAGTGATCAGAAGTTGGCCCACTGCGGTCTATTGTGGCTTACTCCGAGTTTATATTTCCCCCTTCTTATAAAAGTGGAGATAAGTGTGGGGGAAGCATGCTTGATTCTGGCTATTATCGGATATGTGCATAGGACATGTTTTGCAGTTTCGTCTTTTTCCATGCATAGGTGACATTTGGCACTTTGTGCATATGATGAAGGAGTCTGTAGTGTGCAGTGTACAGACCCACCAGTGCTTCAAAGCTCTTCCTTCCTGTTTCCAGAAGTATGTCTGCCACTTGTTCCCCTTTTGGACAGGGTACAAAGGATTTTGTATGGTTCATGCCTGGTAGCTCCACCTATATTGTTTGGCCTCTGGCTGACCGAAATTCTCAGCCTTGGTTTTTCAGTATATACCCCTGCTCCGACACCATGTTTAGTTTTAGAACCCTCTGTGTACAGGCAGAGATCTGCCCTCAGTAGCTCGGTCCATATAGTTCTCTCTCAGGAATCATTGTTTTGAAGGTGGGTTTTCTTTGGCATTATGTCAGAAGGCATGCCGTATCGATTTATTTCATTCACAAGCATCGTATGTTGCATTGCGCTTCTCCCCTCCAAAATGCTTTTTGAAGCATGGTACAGCCATCTACTCACCAATATATTATTGAACTGTTCAAATAAGACACTCACTTGAAACGTGTGGTTTTTGAACTAATGAGAAAAATTCACAACTGAGTAAATCAGGTTAGTTTTGTACTTGAACAACATATTGGTAAATAGATGGCTAGATTCATCCATAAGTTCCGCAACAATCCACTCATTTATACTTGAATAACTTGTTACAATATATTACTAGTTTGGTAAAGTAATATTACTAATTCCTGTTAAAAGGCCAATTAACAAAAAGGGGATAATCTTACAAATTCTGACTTTATGTAATAAGTTATTGTTCAAGTACAAATAAGTGAATTGTTGCGGAACTTATGGGTGGACCTCTGCGGGACGAGCGCAGCGAGTTCCGCAGCCATCTACTTACCAATATACTGTCGAACTATTCAAGTAAGACATTCACTTGGAATGTGTAATTTTTAACCTAATGAGCATAACGCATATTTGAGTGAGTTAGTTAAGTATCGTAATTAAATAACATATTGATAAATAGATGGCTGCGGAACTCGCTGCGCTCGTCCCGCAGAGGTCCACCTATAAGTTCCGCAACAATTACCTTATTCTTCTAAACAGTTCCCATATTTTTATGGACCATTTCTTCGAAAAACTGTATCTTGCATAATGTGCTGCCAAAATTAACCTAAACTAACCTAATCTGGCTTACTTTAACTTAAACTGCCCCCCTTTTTAAAAGGTCTGTATCCGCCCCTATAGTGGGCATCAACAGTGGTGGGTTCCCTTAAGCCCCCCCTATTATTGGGGTTATAATGTTTGGATAATGCAGATGCCAAATTATTACGCTATTACACATCCTGCATAAATAATCCAAAACATTCTCAGCTCAACAATTAATCCGATAACAGGCTGTTTGTTTTACATCTTTCTTTATTGAATACGATTGAAAAAAGACAAACTACGTCAGCTGGTGATCGGACTAATCAGATCAGTGTAAACCCTTGAAATTTCCCCAAAACGAAACAGCAAAAAATCCACATCTTGTCTAAAGAAGTCGTAGTCTGAATTTATTTATATTCCACAACTAAACCTTGCAGTGTGAATGTAAGCTCTGTTCCAACCGTTCCAGAAACAGTGATTTCCAGTTGCTCACCTATTTTTTCAATAAATTAAACGTTTCTCCTACTTGACATATGAATTAATCGACTAGGTTGGAACAGAGCTATAATACCACAACTTCATTTTCAGAGTTACAAAGAAAAAGATGGAGGCAAAGTTGTAGTGTACACCACAACAATGGGCATTATCAGAGACACCTATCAGGCCTGCACGAAAGTAAAACAAATCCTGCGAACGCTTTTGGTGAAATTCGAAGAGCGCGACGTCTTTATGAGCGTCGATTACCAAAACGAAATCCGCGAGAGGATGAAGTGCGAACAAATCTTGGTGCCTCAAGTATTTGTAGATGGACAACATTGTGGAGTAATGAAAACATACTCAATAATTTTTTTTTTAGGCTCAATACTTATTTTTTTTAGGATGCTGAAACATTAGAAAGACTAAACGAATCAGGCGAATTAAGGAAAATCTTAAAGGCCTACAAAGTAAGAAATCTAAAACCACTTTACTGCTAAACTAATAATGTCTTTGCAGAATCCTGATGTATGTAGTACCTGTCAAATGTGCGGTGGCTACAGATTATTGCCGTGCACAGTTTGCAATGGCAGCAAAAAGTCAGTGCACAGGAACCATTTCACAGCCGAATTTGTGGCACTGAAATGCATGAATTGCGACGAGAATGGACTTGTACGGTGCACCATTTGCTCATGAATAAACATAAAGTGTGTGCCATTATATAAGCAAAATTTGTACATAATATTATAATAAAAAATAGCCTAATGATATTATTAATTCCTCCTTAATATCGATCGAATTGATGTATTTATGTGTTGCAAGGGTTGTCCGAGAGATAGCAGCAGTAAGTCTTTTTGCCTGAATATTCAAATTTGAGTTTTCAGAAAATGGTAAAACTTTCCCATCTATCATAAACTAGTATAAGCCTATTACTAGACCCTTCTAAGTGAGCTTAAAGGGACTATGTAGGGTCTTTTGCTAACACATTAAAGTTAGTTTGAAGGTAAAACTGTATTTTCATAACATCAATAAACCTAATAATAAATAACCATAAATTATTGTTTGTTTTTATTATTAGAATTTATCGAGTCTCTCAATTGCCAAATGGAATATTGCAGTTAAACGGCCATTTTCCTATTACGGGCTTTATTGTTCCTGCAAAAGGGGGGGCGAGTTAATGGCAGAAGTATGTTACAGGACAACTACATCTTTCCCGAGTACTGCGGGGGCTTTAAGAGTAGAGAGAGAGAGAGAAGGAGGCTTTTGGCTGAATTATCGTCGAAATTAAATGGGTCGGAAATGCCATGCAATTTGTTCTCTACGCTTTGGGTTAATTAAAAACTTTCTTGGAATTTTTGAATATATATATATATATATGACACAACAATCCCATTATCAGATTTAAATTCATAGTGCGCATACACTGCGACAAGCAATAAATCTGGATGCACATAAACTGGCTTTATGTTGATAAATCTCGATTAAACTTGATGCGCAAACACACACAGAATTGTTTCAAGAAAATTATTATTTTGGCCCGGATTTTAGTACATCTAATTACAAAGTTTCCGGCTAAAACTTATTCATAACTTTGCCTTTTAACTTACCGGGAAGTTCGATTAATCTTGTGTAGGAAAAGTTGCCTAATCACGGTCTAAAAGTGTGGATATAGCAATATAGTTCGTGTTTATCGTTACATTGCAGAAAAAACTAATAAAAGTCAGCCAGGGTTTATCCAGCTCGAGGCGTTGAATGCACTCTATAAACGAGTAATCCGGAAAACCTTTTAGGTAATTTTTATTGCGATTGGTAATTTGAGTATTAATGGCGTTGTCTGGAACAATTCTGTTAGTGGTGTATGGGACCTGTGTTTGGTATGTCAGAGTCTTTCTTTTCTCAGGTAGAGATGGCCCTGAGAATATTCTCCAAAGAACTTCTATTGAAAACAGAGAATTTACCAAGAATATTCTCTGGCCTTAAATTCTCGAGAATTTATAATTTTTTAGGTTCAAGAGTTTATGAGAATCAGATGAGAATATATGGTACCATAGAGTATGGTACTTTTCAAGAATTTATGAAAAGTTACCTGTAATTTTTAAATGTATCACCTTGCACATACTATTAACAGATGACGCTAGCTTCGTAGTGAGGTTAGGTTGAAATGAAAAACGGAAAACAATGAGTTCGGGTAAAATTTTGTAAATCCCCTGATTCCATAGACGTTTTCGATTGCTAGATTAGATTTAATGCGTACTGGTGTCACTGAGTACTGAGTGAATTTCCAGCTCTTTCTCTCTGTCTGTTATTAAAGAAACAGATAGAAACACAAACACATTTTCTCTGCACTATTTCTACCATTGAGGTAGTATCCAATTTAAAAAATCTTCGAATGGAGAATGCGGCCCTGATACAATTCTGACACGTTGTTATGACAAAAGTGACAGAATCTCAGACAGAAGTGTAGTAACAATATGGCGGAAGTGGATACGCTTTTTTCTCCTCATGTCGCCTCCTTATCATTCTACCTCAATGATTTCTATACCAATTGGAAATGAAAGTTTTGAGGAAATTCCTTCGACAATGTAACCTAGAGATTTGATTTGGAAATATTTCAGACAAAATAAGAATAACAAATTTCAATGTAAATTTTTTGTACCAAAAAATGCAAAAAGCCCAAAATGATTCATAAGAAGCTATATTCTTTGAAATTCTCCAAAATTCTCCAATGTTCCTGAAAATTGTCCGAGAAAATTCTCTCAAAATAAATTCTCGAGAATTTGCCATCTCTATTCTCAGGGAAGTTGACAAAGAAAGATTTTAAGATTTCAGGTCTCTACAATTCAATATTATTTGCTCTAAGAAAGTCCAAAATTAGTTTGTTTGTTCTTACCTTAGGATTGAATATCACTGAGTCAATTGAAATTGGGGTTTGAATCCCTAAGATGACATTTTTACATATTGAAATGTCAGTTTAAGGAATACTTATCGTTAAGGGTCCCCTAAAATAGTTGGTGGAAACGGCCATTATTCTCATTAGTTGAAAAAGTACACGTTTCAGGTGAGTGTCATATTTGAACAGTTCAACAGTATTTTGGTAAATAGATGGCTGCGGAACTCGCTGCGCTCGTCCCGCAGAGGTCCACCCATAAATTCCGCAACAATTCACTCATTTGTACTTGAATAACTTATCATATTATGTTACTAGTTTGATAAAGTAACGTTACTAATTCCTGTTAAAAGGCAAATTGACAAAAAATGAATAATCTTACAAATGTTGACTTTACATAATAAGTTATTGTTCAAGTACAAATAAGTGGATTATTGCGGAACTTATGGGTGGACCTCTGCGGGACGAGCGCAGCGAGTTCCGCAGCCATCTACTCACCAAAATACTGTTGAACTGTTCAAATAAGACACTCACCTGAAACGTGTAGTTTTTGAACTAATTAGAATATCTGACATTTGAGCTAGTCAGGTTAGTATCGTACTTATACAATATATTGATAAATAGATGGCTGCGGAACTCGCTGCGCTCGTCCCGCAGAGGTCCACCCATAAGTTCCGCAACAATTCACTCATTTGTGCTCGAATAACTTGTCATATTATGTTACTAGTTTGGTAAAGTAACATTACTAATCCCTGTTGAAAGGCAGATTGACAAAAAATTAATAATCTTACAAATTTTGCCTTTACATAATAAGTTATTTTTCAAATACAAATAAGTGGATTATTGCGGAATTTATGGATGGACCTCTGCGGGACGAGCGCAGCGAGTTCCGCAGCCATCTACTCACCAATATAGGTATTGTTGAACTGTTCAAATAAGACACTCACCTGAAAGTGTACTTTTTAAACTAATGGGAATAACTCATATTTGAGTGAGTTAGGTTAGTATCGTACTTGAACAACATATTGATGAATAGATGGCTGCAGAGGTCCACCCATAAGTTCCGCAACAATTCACTCATTTGTACTTGAATAACTTATCATATTATGTTACTAGTTTGATAAAGTAACATTACTACTACTTTCTGTTGAAAGGCAAATTGACAAAAAATGAATAATCTTACAAATGTTGAATTTACATAATAAGTTATTGTTCAAGTAAAAAATAAGTGGATTATTGCGGAACTTATGGGTGGACCTCTGCGGGACGAGCGCAGCGAGTTTCGCAGCCATCTACTCACCAAAATACTGTTGAACTATCCAAATAAGACACTCACCTGAAACGTGTATTTTTTGAACTAATTAGAATAGCTGACATTTGAGTGAGTCAGGTTAGTATCGTACTTGAACAACATATTGATAAATTGTGGTGGGTCTATGAAGAACTTCGCAACTTTTCACATTGAACACTACTTCACTTAAAACACTTTGGAAAATTTCACTAGGAAAACAAAAAGTAGCAGAGTGCTCGGTCACTGAATAAACGGTAAATGATTTCTTTTAGCAACTATCCTGAAAAAGACTGTTGCTTCGACAATAGCGAGCACTCGAATGCTGAACATGGTCACCTTCCAAGTGATATAAGACATTTGGACCAGTTGAATGATGGACTTGGTCTTTCATAATCACTAGTAACTCTTGCAACAAAATATTACAAATCTTGCAAGAATAAATATGACAGTCAAAAGGCGGAAAGACTATTTTGTGAATAGAAACCCATCTTGCTCAGACCAAACTCCATTACATCAAAAAAGTTGTTTATGGTGTAGTTATAACCGAGTTGGTTCAATACATGCAGGATTTATACTTATTTTGCAGTACTTCTCCAGTCTTCACACTCTCTTATGTTACAAAATTACTGTCTGAGCGCATGACTGACATGGAAGTAAAGGTGCAACTCCGGTTCTAGCACACAATCAGTCATTTTTCCATGTAAATCTAAGATCCGTTCTGGAAATTTTCGTATCATTTTGGAGTAGGGGTAAAATTTCCAGGAATAGGCCCTGCGTAAGAGAGTAGGAATGTTTCCTGTGAAGTGGGTAAATCTGCCATAAACAGATTAATCAAAAGTGGGCTGAGTGGTGAGCCCTGGGGGACTCCGGCTAGAACTGGTCTGGTGGTTGATCGTGTTATGTTCGAGGAGTGGCTGTTTATTGTTAACCTGAATTTTCTGCCGGCCAGGAAGGAGTGTATAAGCTTGGTATTGTGGCATGTTCAGTCGAAGCATCTTCAACAAAAGTCCCTGGTGCCACATTCTGTCAATGTCCAGAAATACCGCTCCGGATTCCATATTTCTGTTGAACCTTGTTGTTGAATATGAGTGTGGTCAATCGAGTAGCTTTTTTGTAAGGAGAATCGGTCAGTTGGGTTTCTTGGACTAAGAGAACAACAATCCGATGTTCCTCCAGGAGAAATTCTCGTGTTCTAGCTTCCTCTGTTTGACTGTACCGCAATTTCATGTTACGCTACGGAGAAAGTGGGGTGCCGTGGGGTGTTCAACCGTTCAGATTTTTGTTTTGGGCTTGCATTATGGCGTTCAGGTGTAAATAGTGTCAATTAGCCAAATTAGAAGTTCTAATGTTGGGGTTTGTTGTTGTTTTTGCTGGTTTGTGGATGGTTGCATCTTCGGTTGTTGGCCCCAAACAAAGTTTGACTGGGAGGCAGGTTTGTAGGTGGGCTTTTCCGGACAGCCTTGGTACAAGGCAGTTTGCACAAGTGGCGGCTTCTTCCCTGGGTTTTGAGCAGGTTGAGGTGTGGTGGCGCACTTTACGCATTTCAGAATAACTCGGCACTTTGACTGTGAGTGCCCGTAAAGCTGGTATCTGTGGCACTGAGTGAAGCATTCTTGCGTCCTCTGTGTTTCAACTCTAACTTTAATGTGATTTATGAAGTTGAGTTTATCGAGTTCAGCGCAACACCAGGAGTAAAATGAAAGTTGTACATCTGTAAAAGTATAGCAATATAAATTCGTGTTTATCGTTATATTGCAAAAAAAAAACTAATAAAAGTCAGTCGCGTTCATGTAGCCCAAGGCGTTGAATATGCACTCTATAAACGTGTAGATTATCCCGGAAAATCTTTTATTTGC